ATTTTCTAGTCCATTTTACTGACATTTCATTGCAGCAACTCAAAATAGTAAAGTAGTTTGTATGGTTCCCATGTGCTTGTATGCTTGCCTGACAGTCTGAGGTGCAACCTGGCACCATCAAATGGACCGAAATATGATATCCCAGAGGTGTTCTATTGGACTTAGTTTAGGCAAGCGTATGGGCCATTCAATGGTATCAATTCCTTCATCTTCCAGGAACTGCCTGCATACTCTCGCCACATGAAGCCGAGCATTGTCATGCACCAGGAGGAACCCAAGACCTATTGCACCAGTATAGGGTCTGACAAGGGGTCCAAGGATTTCATCCCGATTCCTAATGGCAGTCAGGGTGCCATTGTCTAGCCTATAGAGGTCTGTGCGTCTTTCCGTGGATATGATTCCCCAGACCATCACTGACCCACCACCAAAATGGTCATGCTGAACGATGTTACAGACAGCATAACGTTCTCCATGGCTTTTCCAGACCCTTTCACGTCTGTCACATGTGCTCAGGGTGAACCTGCTCTCATCTGTGAAAAGCACTGGGCACCAGTGGTGGACCTGCCAATTCTGGTGTTCAATGGCAAATGCCAATCATGCTCTATGGTGCTGAGCAGTGAGCACTTGGCTCACTATAGGACGTCTGGCCCTCAAGCCACCCTCATGAAGTCTGTTTCTGATTGTTTGGTCAGAGACATTCACACCAGTGGCCTGCTGGAGGTCATTTTGTAGGGCTCTGGCAATGATCATCCAGTTCCTCCTTTCACAAAGGAGCAGATACTGGTCCTGCTGATGGGTTGAGGGCCTTCTATGGCCCTGTCCAGCCTTCCTAGAGTAGCTGCTTGTCTCCTGGAATCTCTTCCATGCTGTTGAGACTGCTGAGAGGCACTTCTGGCAATGGCATGTATTGATGTGCCATCTGGAGGAGTTGGACTTCCTGTGCAACCTCTGTAGGGCCCAGGTATCGCCTCATGCTACCAGTAGTGACACTGACCCTAGCCAAATGCAAAACTAGTGAAAAACAGTCAGAAAAGATGAGTAGGGAAAAAATGTCAGTGGTCTCCACCTGTAAAACCATTCTTGTTTTGGGGGTCATCTCATTGTTGGCAATCTAGTGCACTTATTGTTAATTTCATTAACACCAAAGCAGCTGAAACTGATTAACTAACCCCTCTGCTACTTAACTGACCAGATCAATATCCCAGGAGTTTAAATGACTTGATGGAATACTCTGATTAAAAAGTGTTCATTTAATTTTTTGAGCAATGTGTATTGTATGTTTACAGTAAAACTGCCTGGACACTTTCTCATACTCACACTAGGCCAACTGAGAGAAAAAGGCATAGAGAGAAAACTATTTCACTTTGTTAGAACAGTACAGCAGAATAAAAGTACAAATCAGGGCTTCAGCACTTTGAAATGCCAGCTTTCACTCTAGGATCAAAATGTCATCCAGCTCCTGTCTCCCTCGATGGGAGATTAAATGACAAAGCACTGTGTGCGAGGCGTTCATGTTATCTGCAGAGTAACAACTTTCTAAGGCTGGGAGGCAGCTCTAGCGGTAAAGTGTCAATGTTACGAGCTTGAAAAATATTTATCCTCATAGCTCAGAGTGCTCCAGAGGCTTTTTGATCCTTTGCAATTAAAAATAAATAGGAATTACTAATGAATATATATAACCTATGACCATAACAGCCCTGTAATTAAGTAGAAGAATGTTCAATAAAATGTTGGGCAACGTGAGGATGTAATATTACTTTTCCATTGTGTGATTTGCTGCCAGCTAAGGGTAAACAGAGCCTTTAAGTCAGCATTAAGTGATTTGGGATGTTGACTGATCAGCATTGCCCTTAAACAAGTATATGAGAGTTCAGAAAGTAGTCTATGATTTTTATCATATGTATATTTTAAATGATAGAGACAGAATATCAACCAAAAATCCAGAAAAACTCATACAAATGAGTTACAGTTCAGTGAGTAAAATAAGTATTTTCTTCCCAAGCAAAACATGACTTAGTACATGGTAGAGAAACCATTGTTGACAAGCACAGAGGTAAGACGTTTCTTGTAGTTGGTTAACAGGTTTTCACACATCTCAGGAGGGATTTTGCTCCACTCTTCTTTACAGATCTTCTCTAAATCCTTAAGGTTTCTTGGCTGTCGCTTGTCAACTCGAAGTTTCAGTTCCCTTCATACATTTTCTAAAGGATTAAGGTCTGGCTAGGCCACTCCATGACCTTAATGTGCTTCTTCTTGAGCGGCTCCTTTGTTGCCTTGGCGGAATGTTTTGAGTCATTGTCATGCAGGAGGACCCAACCACGACCCATCTTTAGTGTTCTGACTGGGAAGAAGGTTCTCGTCCAAGATTTTACTATACATGGCCCCATCCATTGGCCCCTCAATGCGGCAAAGGTGGCCTGTACCATTAGCAGAGAAACAGCCCAAAAGCATAATGTTTCCATCTCCGTGCTTGACTGCAGGGATGGTTTTCTTAGAGTCATAGTCAACATTTTTCCTCCAAACATGGTGAATCAAGTTAATGCCAAACAGCTCAATTTTGGTCTCATCTAACCACAGCACTTTCTCCTAATCCTTCTCTGAATCATTTAGATGTTCAATGGAAAACTTCAGATGGGCCTGTACATGCGCCTTGTCAGGGCTCCGGGGTGTGACCAGAGGTATGTGACTGACGCAGGGAAACGCAGGCTTCAGATATGTTATAAACAATAAGACAATTTATTAAAGACTAACAATACAAACATAAACGCAGTGCAATACTAAACATAACACAGTGCAAACGAACCAAACCAAACCACCCACAGATAACAATATATACAATGCAAGCGTCGTCAGGCAGGCCAGGTCAATAACAATCGGGCAGGTAGGAACAGGGGGTCAGGCAGAGAATGGTCGGGGTCACAAGCCAGGGATGAAACAGGAGAAGTCAGCAGAGGTCTGGAATCAGGCAGGGTCAGCAACGAATCAGACAGAGACAGGAACAGGAATGCAGGAACAAGATACAGGGCCCAGGAAAAAAACACACACCAAGGCAGAGACTGCAGGTCTGGCCATCCCTTAAATACACCTGCATGATCAACTTCAGGTGTTTGGCTGGCTGCAGGGTTGAGTCTCTGATTGCCGGGAGCACCCGCTGGCCATCCCTGGTACTGCAGCCCACAAGGCAGGTGGGTCCCACCATTACTGGCAAGTCCATTCCTCTGCAAGGCCGGACCTCTGCTGACTTCTCCTGTTTCATCCCTGGCTTGTGACCCCGACCATTCTCTGCCTGACCCCCTGTTCCTACCTGCCCGATTGTTATTGACCCGGCCTGCCTGACGACGCTTGCATTGTATATATTGTTATCTGTGGGTGGTTTGGTTTGGTTCGTTTGCACTGTGTTATGTTTAGTATTGCACTGCATTTATGTTTGTATTGTTAGTCTTTAATAAATTGTCTTATTGTTTATAACATATCTGAAGCCTGCGTTTCCCTGCGTCAGTCACATACCTCTGGTCACACCCGGAGCCCTGACATTACACCAAGGCCCATCCTGACCAGAAGTGGCTGCACAGGGAAGCCATCTTGGCTTGTTGCTGGGAAGGATGGATCTTGATGAGGTTGTGTATTTATCTCTGCTAGTGTTTGATGACAGAGAGTATGCTTATCAAACTCTGAAGGAGTATCCCAGGGATGAACTGCTAGAATGTATACGGATCGCTCATGTTCTAGTAGATCAGGGCACAGAATTCTCTGAGGTGCAGCCATTGATTCAGGTTTGTGCTGAGTTGGTTTCATCTGGTACCCCCGAATGCAGGGATGAATTTTTGCCGCCATTTAGTGCAGACCAGGTAGAGTCCCTGGTATGGTTATTAGAGGAGGATGTGGATTACTTCTTGGAGCATTATGCTGCATGTTCACCACAGGTATTAAGGGATTGTATAAATTCAGTGCAGTCTTTGGTCAGACAGGCTTTGTGTAAGCTGAGCTTTGTTCAACCCATACATGGTCAGACTTGTTGCACCCAGCCTCAGTCAGCTTGCAAAAACCCAGTCCTGCTTCAAATCTATTTCTTCAAAGCTCTATTCCTGCTTTCCCAACAGCACCTCCAGTTACAGCCCAGTATACCCTGCTATCTACCGCATGTCAGTACCCTGTTCCCCCTGTAGCCCTCTGTAGCAACTGTTCCCTCCCCTGTTCCATCCTCCAGCTCTTCTCTGTCTCCAGCTGCTCCATCCGTTTACAAACCTGCGCTTACTTACAGTACTCCGGTACTAAAACCAGGAAAAGGCGAAAGTTCTTTCCAACCAATACCATCCTGCCAGTATCCAAACCGGTCAGCCTCCCATCTGAGAACCTGCCTTCCATGGTGCAGCCTGGTGCCTCGGCGCCCACAATTCAGCCTGATGCCTCTACCCAGCCTGATGCCTCCATTCAGCCTGATGCCTCCACCCAGCCTGATGCCTCCACCCAACCTGATGCCTCCACCCAGCCTGATGCCTCCATTCGCCTGATGCCTCCATTCAGCCTGATGTCTCTACCCAGCATGATGTTTCTACCCAGCCTGATGAACTGATCCAGCCTGATGATCCTATTATGCCAGACGACTCGGTGCCCGCTGTTCCGCCAGTCGACTCGGTGCCCGCTGTTCCGCCAGTCGACTCGGTGCCCGCAGTCTTGCCAGACGACTCGGTGCCCGCAGTCTTGCCAGACGACTCGGTGCCCGCAGTCTTGCCAGACGACTCGGTGCCTGCAGTCTTGCCAGTTGACTCGATGCCCGCTGTTCCGCCAGTTGACTCGGTGCCCGCAGTCTTGCCAGACGACTCGGTGCCCGCAATCTTGCCAGACGACTTGGTGCCCGCTGTTCCTCCAGTTGACTCGGTGCCCACAGTCTTGCCAGACGACTCGGTGCCCGCAGTCTTGCCAGACGACTCGGTGCCTGCAGTCTTGCCAGTTGACTCGATGCCCGCTGTTCTGCCAGTTGACTCGGTGCCCGCAGTCTTGCCAGACGACTCGGTGCCCGCAGTCTTGCCAGACGACTTGGTGCCCGCAGTCTTGCCAGACAACTCGGTGCCCGCTGCCGAGCCAGACGATCCGGTACCTGATGACCCGGTGCCCACTGTCATGCCTGGTGACCCGATGCCCGCTGTCATGCCAGACGATCCAATGTCTGACCCAGTGCCCGCGGTCATGCCTGGTGACTCGGAGCCCACTGTCATACCTGGTGACCCGATGCCCGCTGTCGAGCCAGACGATCCAATGCCTGATGACCCAGTGCCCGCGGTCATGCCTGGTGACCCGATGCCCGCTGTCGAGCCAGACGACCCGCTGGCCAGCCCTGGTACTGCAGCCCACAAGGCAGGTGGGTCCCACCATTACTGGCAAGTCCATTCCTGACACGCCTCCTTGAGGAAGGGAACCTTGCAGGTGCTGCAGGAATTCAGTCCATGGCGGCATATTGTGTTACCAATGGCTTGTTTGGTGACTATGATCCCAACTGTCTTGAGATAATTAACAAACTCCTCCCATGTAGTTCTGGGCTGATCCCTCACTTTTCTCATGATCATCCTTACTCAATGATGCAAAATCTTTCTTAAACTTCAGACCAAGGGCGATTGATGGTTATTTTGTATTTCTTCCATTTGCAAATAATTGCTCCAACAGTTGTCTCCTTCTCACCAAGCTTTTTGCTGATGATCTTGTAGCCTTCCAGCCTTGTGCAGGTCTACAATCATGTTCCTGATGTCCTTTGATAGCTCTTTGGTCTTGTCTATGGTGGTGAGGTTTGAATGGAAGAAACAGATTCTGTGGACAGGTGTCTTTTATACACATAACTTGTTGTCATTAGGAGAACCTTCCTAAATTGATAGGACTAACCTGTGTGCCACATGAGCACAGAGCCAGTCTGTTGGAGCCAGAATTATTGTTGGTTGGTAGTGGATCAAATAGTTATTTCACTCACTGAACTGCAACTCAATTTATAACATTTGTATCATGTGTTTTTTATGGACTTTCGGGTGATATTCTGTCTCTATCATTTAAAATACACCTATGATAAAAATTATAGACCCTTAATTTCTTTGTAAATGGGCAAACTTATTGCAGGGGATCAAATAATTATTTTTGCCACTGTATTCATATAGCATCTCTGCATTACACTCATATTTCTGCATGTTGTATCTCTTTACAAATGCCTGCTGATCTGCCTGAAGCCCAGTGTGCTTCTAACTTCTGTTAGTGAGCCAACAACACTACCTCTGCTACATTGAAATCTCAAGATATGCGTAACTGTCTTCTGTTGGACTACAGAACACCAAATCCATCTAAATCTGTGCATTTAACACTACCTTCTCCACAGGCTGAACATGCTACTGTCCATGGGTGGTTCCATTACTCCTCCATCTAGAGTGGACCTACCCTACAACAAGAAGTGTGTTATGCTTTTTTTCAGTGCGAATGCAGTTTTGGCACCTCCAGCACTGAATGTATGTAATGGCAAGGGGTTATGGGGTGTGCTGTAGGGTCTATTGTTAATGGAGAATCTATTGTTGCAAGGGTCTTTTGTCAATGGGGGATCTATTGTTGCAGGTGTCTATTGTCAATTAGGAATCTATTGCTGCAGGGGATCTATTGTTGCTCATAGGAATCTACATCCTGTTTCCTAAGGAGTCTCAATCCTTCCTGATTGCATCTTCAGGTGTCAGTGCTGAAGGATTATACCACAATTTTATACCACGGTGAGGCTGTTCTGTAGTCCAGCAGGGAAGAACTGAAGCAGGATTCATCAAACTCTTTGGGATATCATTGCATCAGAGTCAGAGTGCACAGGAAGTGAGGAACTCACTGGATTTGTGGCAGGATCAACGTGTATTTTTCTTTCTTTGCAGCATTTTTAAAGAGATGAAACATGGGAAAATGTACATTTTAAGGAAAGCTAAAAAAAAGGATAAACATGACCATTCAACTTACCTTTTGTCTGACTATGTGTACTGCTATTTTACTTTCTCCATTTTAAGTAGGAATGAATGAATCTATTTGCATGATACAGAACTCACGGGTAATTTGGATGGTTGTCCAGGGAGCCGTGATTAGCTGCTAGTGAACCCAGTTTGCTCTGTTGAATGGTAAAATCTCTCCAGTGACTATTTTCCTAATCACTTCCATTCCCCAAAGCTGAAGCCTACTTCTTTAGGCTAGTGTGGTATACCAAGGTGTGTTTTACTCCTAATCTGGCTTTGGCATTTTGTGCAATGGCTAGTTTTTATCTAGATTGTATTGAAGACAGACTACATTTTCTTCTACAAGATAAAAACCTTATAGTACAATTTTATGTCCTCTATACATTGCACCCAAAGGCAAAAAGCCCAAACAGATAATTATCTATTTACTTTGCATATTACAGTTTGTGAATTTGCCTCGAGATCTTATTTGTCATATTGTCTGTTTTGCCCTCAGACTGTATATCCTCCTGGCATGCCCTCATAGGGCTAAGCCCTTTTTTAATGCCATCCACCTTTTCTGTGTGGGATCTGATTATATGACCCTAGGCTTTGTTTTCTCCTGTTCACATCTGTTCTAAACTAGGTCTTTTCTGCTCCCCATATTTGAATGTATTTTATTGTTTTCCAGTAGTATCTGATTGTAACATAAAATATCTAAATGTTTGCATATTCCAAACATACCGATTTAGTATTATTATTCTTAGCTGTTGTTAGATTTGTTATAGCCTTGGCTATGGTAGTACTAAAATATTGCCACTGGAAGGCTTTAATCAGCAATAGAAATTTTAAACCTGGTGGTCATGTACTTTTCTGATGTAGTATTAAAGCATATTTAAACACAAAAGCAAAAATGTTATATATTGCAGCTAACCAATCCTAAAATGTGGTGGCTGTATTAGGTTTCTTTCTTTTTTTCCTTTATTTTCACCTGATGGTCAGCCAGTAAGCCTCTTATTTTTCCACTTCCTTTAACATACCATACTGTCCAGACAAAGTAGCAGTAAGAGGGTCGAGTCAAACCATTTAACACTGACAGGGGTGCTTAGAATAGTCAGCTGTTATTCAATATGTAAAATCTTTATCACAAAAGGAAAAAACTATTGCTGTAACTGCTTAAAAAGTGTTAACTGAAGTTTGACTTTAATTTGTTAGTCAAATCCATGTAAATCTGCTTGTGCATTTAAGGCTACATTCTCCACAGGTTTAAAATGCTGCTGTCCATGGGTGGTTCCATTACTCCTCCATCTAGAGTGGAGCTACCCTTCAACTGGAAGTGTGTTACTCTTTCTTCAGGGGAATGCAGTTTTGGCACCTCCAGCACTAAATATATGTAAAGGGAGGGGTGATGGGGTGTGCTGGAGGGCCTGTTGTTGATGGGGGATCTATTGTTGCAGGGGTCTAGTGTCAAACAGGGATCTATCATTGCCTACAGGTATCTTCATCCTGTTTCCTATGTGAGTCTCAATCCTTCCTAATTGCATCTCCAGGTTTCAGTGCTGAAGGATTATACCATCATGTGTGAATGTAGAAACAAAATGTATGGTTAACTTCCTAACTTCTCCTGCATTTTCCATAATAGCGGAATGTGCGCACAGACATTTAATCAATAAAATAATTGAGAGATATAAGAAAATGTCAAGTGATTTACCTCCCCAGTTTCTTGGAGGTAAAATGTCAGCCTTAGGTGGTCTAGCCTTAAAAGTACATTTTAACTCTCCGCAGAGTAATTCCACATGCATGATTTGAGATAAAAGTTGGGTTAATGTTTGGTGTTTTCCTGCCAATACTGTCCTGTTTAGGGTAGACAACTAAAGTTGTAGACCAGCATTTCTCCACCATGGTTCTTTGGAACCTTAGGGCTCCGTAAGAGTTTTCAAGGAGGTTCCTTGAGCAATGCACAACTTCTGCTTCTTAGATGAGTAACCTTTGAAACCAATGATCTTTTAAGTTATCTGTAAGGGAGGGGGGATTCTTTAAATGTAAGGAGAATTCTTACTGACTTTCACATAATGTACTGTGAGCTGTAGATACACAGTTATTAGTAGGGGCTTCCTGAGCATGTAAAGTTATTTCAAGGGTTTTCCATGCTATGCTAAGAAGTTTAAGAAAGGCTATAGTAGACAGTGGTGTTGATTTACTAAAACTGGAGAGTGCAGAATCTGGTGCAGCTGTGCATGGTAGCCAATCTGCTTTTAACTATAGCTTCTTCAATTAAACTTTGGAAAAAAAACAGGAAGCTGATTGGTTTCTATGCAGATCAGCACCAGATTTTAGACTTTCCAGTTTTAGTAAATCAACCCCACAGTTGAAAATTTTAAACTTTAAATTCATGGGGAGCTGGGGGATAGGTTCCATTATATTCCCAGTATTTCATTTTAACTCACTAAAGAAAAAAATAAATATTTTTTTAAATGTTTTTTTTAGCTCTGATCATCATCAAGAATAAATATACACAATACTCTTATGCATATCCTTAGAAGTGCAATGAGTTTGAGTCTTGAAGAACAACTGTCTGAATAAAAAGCAATCTTACCAGTAACAGGCAATGATTGTTGCTGCTATTTTATTCCACTCCAGTTGTAAACTGAAGAATTGCAGTTGGGTTTCTTAAAAAAGGAGGCACTGTATCTGCAGCCATCACAAACCAAAACAACTAAACTGTTTGTTTCTTATTTAAAGTGGTTGTAAACCCTTACATATATCCAGTGCAGTGAATAGCATCAGGTGATACACATAAATAAATCAAATTCTCCTACATACATTGTACCTGTCTATCTGCAGTCTTCTCTTCTCTACATCAGTTCAAAGTACTGAATTTATAAAGCTTGTCTGAGAGTTCAGAAAAAAGGGGGCAGAGAGCTGAAATTACACACTGCAGAGCTCAGAGAGGATAATTCTGGGAGCTGATTGGAGGGAAGAGACACACACACACACCCTCCACACAACTCACAGGAATAGAGATGAGGCTGTTAATCTGCTGGAGATCTTCCCTTTTCACTTCATTTTTCTCTTGGTGTAAGGAAAACTTGTCAGAAGAGATTCATGCTGATAGCAGAGAACCAAAGCAGCAGACAGAAATCGCACTTAAGGCTCCTAAATGAGACACAGTCAGGGGCGGACTGACCATTTGGAAACTCGGGCACTGCCCGAGGGCCCGGGGTCAGTAGGGGGCCCCATGAGATGCCCCTGGTACCTTTTTCATAGGCTTTTTTGAGTTTGGGCAAGGACACAGGGGCCTCATGATCCCCTATTGCCCGGGGGCTCCATGAGTTGTCAGTCCGCCCCTGGACACAGTACACACTATACAGGAATATGCTTTCTTTATATTTCAT